ACACGATACACGATAGAACCTGATAAACGATCTACACGATAAACGCAAAACGCGATAAACGGAAAACACGATAGAAAACGCAAAACAAGATAAACGGAAAACACGATACGATAGGATACACGCATGATACGATAGGATACACGAACGATACGATAGGATACACGCACGATAGGACACGATAGAACTGTAAAGAATAACGATGCGGGTACTGTACCTGTAATTGGATACTAACCATACCTGTAATGGGATACTAACAACGCAGAGCAAACACTCTTATCACTGCGGCACTAGGGCTATTACAAATATACTGTAAATCACTTTTTATTCACGAGAGCTTTATTTTCGCGTATTTACGCGAGACGGTATGTTCGCGAAATTTTCATTCACGCGTATAATAGTTTTTCTAAAGATTATATAGAGAAATATTAACAATTCGTGAAAATTATGTCCCGCTTATAAAGAGTCAATGATTATCTCGCAAAAATAAAGTGTCGCAAAAATTTAGTGATTAGCAGTAATCAGTTAGTTTTGATACTATCAGTGAGGAGTGCAGCAGGTTACAATTTTGATGATTATAAACATACATGTGCAAAATAAGAGGCAGAAAAATCATTATTAAAAAAAGCAGCTTTTAAACTTACTTGGCACTTATCAACACTGACTGATGATGCCAACAAAATGGTTCACCAAGGTGCACACCTTTGCTGGTAAAAGGTTTTGCACCGAAACTTTTTTTTAATTTCCTGTACATCTAAACACATTGTGTTATGCAAATTTCAAAATAATATGTGGTAAAGTAATTCTAAAAGCTTGGTTTGACATATGTTTTTTAAATTATTTGCTCTGGAATCGTCGAATTCGCATGTGTTTGGGATGTAAATACTTCAAATATCTGTTAAATTTAAAAGTGGTTATTGGTTATCCGACTAAATACGTTAATTTAGATAGAGGCAAACCACGTAATTTACAAAGCGAAGGGCCGTTTTGCTAGCTCTATCCTCGTACATTCTTTGGAAAACGGTCATTTTCTCCAAGGTGACAAATTCGAAAATGAGTGTTACCACGAATAGAAATAAAGTAAATACATGTATATATCTGATTCCATCTTAACAGCTGGCAATTGAAAATATGCATATGCACACTTTGTTAACAATGCACGAGAGCTGAATATGTCATATATATTAAATAAATATTTCTTATGAGGAAATGTTTTCAAAGGCATATAAAGCAACATGCAGTTTTATAGTGTATTGTAAAACAATTTTCCATCATTTATTTCCAAACCGGAATTATCAAACCACAGATGGATTCATTTGATTTGTACGGTTTTATATACTTAGTAAAATACAAATAAAATTATCACAGTTGTGTAAAATATATAAATATTTGTACTTTATGTAAATATAAATTATTTGTAATCTTAGAATACATAAATTATCATATATATCCAGACATTTCCTTCGATAATCTTCAGAAATGCAAACAAAATACTATACATTTCAGCCTCCAGAAAAATACCAATCTCTTTATGACTTGCCTATAAGTCAGACCAATATGTAACTCCCAAAATACTGACTTATAGGCGAGATATACAGTAATTTGAATAGCTATGCTAGTTTTAAACTTTACTGAAATTTTAATGACTGTTGGAAATACCTAATAAGTTGCAAAATTTTCTTTTTAGTCGTTTCAAGGATTTGTTTTCAGTTTATTCTTGACTAAAGAAATTCACATTTTCACTCCAGGTTGAAAAGATAGACATAAACTATGCAAAGACAGCCAAGAAACTAGATGTCAAGAAATTGAAAGGGGTTATATGGCATTTACTGACCAAAAAATCAAAGAAGGAGGATAAAAATAATGATAAGGGGTCAACAGAAGAAGGAATGGAGGAGTCAGGGGAAAAACCCACAGAGGCAAGTTTTGACTTATGCTTTTGAAATTAGTTGAAAAATGAACTTTCATTTTCTAGTCAAGCACAATGTAGGGAAACCTGTTAGAAATTTGAAATTCAATTCACACTGGACTTCTTGACAGCTGAGTCCTTTATATTTAAATATATCTACACTGGGAATCATCCTAGTTTGATTTTTACTTTTTTTCAGAATGGACCTGGTTCTTCTGCTAGCAGCAATGATAGTACAGATATGAATGGCAGCTTGTCCTTTCAGGAACTGCTCAATGATCTACCTCAGAATGTATCATCTCATATGGCTAAAAACCTCAGTGTTCCCATTGCTTTTGTTTGTCTGCTTCACCTAGCCAACGAGAAGGTAGGGCTCATTCTGAAGAAGTTTTCCTCCTTCCAAATTTACTTTTTCATCAACTAAAATCTACCTGATCAAAAACAGTTTGAACAAAATGAGTACATGTAACAGGGCTCCATACCAGCATGAGTGACACCCCCCATTTACATACGAAGATTTTTTTTTCAACTAGCCTTTCTTGTACAATATCAAATTATGATGTTTCTTTTTTGCAATTTTATGAACAGTTGTTTGTTTCTTTCTCTTTGTAGACATTGAAAATTGAAAGTGAAAACATGAGTGACTTGAAGATAACACAGGGCATTTGATGTTCACGTATAGACAAAACGTAGAGTACAAGATGTGTTCAAGACTAACTGCAAGATTATTTCATAAAAATATAACTGTAAATTCCGGTATTGTTGAGGTCAGCAAGAAGTAGAAATACAGCTAATTCATTAAAATATGAAGGAAAGTTATGTAATGTTGATATTAATATGGATAGTATTTCTTTGGAAAGTGCATTTGCTCTAGGATTACATCATTTTATAGTTATGAAGAATCGGTGCAGTAGTGTGTAAATACATGTACTTTAAAAAATATTTCGGAGACGAATACTAAAAAAAACTATCAAAAATATGTGAATAGTGGTATATATTTATTTAAATTTTTAAACATCCCTTTTATTTTAGTTAAATATATAGAACATGAGTAGTAATTAGTTATTAAATAAGTTGTGTGTAGAGTTTTCATATATGTACATGTATTGTTAAATTTCACAAATGAAAAATTAGTACTCCTCTTTAATTTTCTACTCTCATTTGCCTATTTCTATACATTTTCTAACTTGAAAATTGGAATAACATTATACAGTATATGTACATGTGCATCTCATATTTTTCTTTGCTCACTTTATTTACACAACCAAATCCATATATTGCTATTGTTTTAGGAATTACATGTATTTTACTTCTTGTTTAATGGATTTTTTTTTTCATAAAGGAACCATTTATATGTAATTGTTGAGGCAGCTAATTTCCTATTATAAAATCGAAATTTTTGCACATATAGCTCAAAGCTTATATCCCCCCCCCCCCAAAAAAAAAGATTAGAGTCAAAAAACTTGATACTTAAATGGGCCCTTAAACAATGCTTAGGACCCCCTACCTAAAAAAAATTGCAATTAAACTGCTACTGTTATTGAAATAAAAAAAGAACTTTTTAATTCAAAAAAGTAACCAAGAGTTATGCTGACTTGTATTATTATTTCCTTACTGTAAAGCAAACTATGTAAGATATATGAAAAAAGAAGCTGTAGATTTTTTCCAGACTGGTCAGTGAAATCATAACTGATCTTTGATACTCAGTGGACTCTACAATTCAGGGTGGTTGTTGTCTTGAAGAATTTTTGGCATATTGTTTGCCTGTTGTTGTGTACATTTGTTTTACTTAGAAATCATTGTTAATATTTTTATCATTATCACACAATACTTTGATCAGCCAACGAGTGTAAATAAACAAGACAACAAATTACTCTTCATTCTTATTATTTGTTTCATCTTTCTTGATAAAATGCTTTAAAACACCTCTAACTAGCATTTGTGGGCAAATAAAGTATGTACTGTATACATGGGAATTTTCGCCCTACCCTCTTTGGGGCGAATTTAAAACGAGACACATTCAAAGAAAAGAATATAATTTCTTAAACAAAACTATAACTGGGCGAATTTAAATCGGGACAAAATTGCTTGCAAGAGTGAAAGGGCGAAAATAACGCTGTATACAGTATTTGAATAATAATTATGTAGTTCATGAAAATAATCAAGCTTCAGCAACAATACAAAACTGTTGTCAAATTGCTCAAAATCACTTCGCAGCAGTGATCATGTCTATTTCATCCCAACTGAGATAAATTTGATGTTACCTATCATTTAGCTGCATCGTGTCAAATTGATGTTATTCTGCATTGTATATTGTGTCTTGCAGTAAGCAAAATCTGCAGTCTGGTTTACTAACTTTAAGTCTTTTTTAGAACACGACTTGAAATTCCTCGTGATGGGCTTTTTATTACCAAAATCCTTCATGGACATTATGGAAGTTGCTATTTCTAGAAAACAAACTTTAATTAAGTTGTATAAATCAGCTTTTATTGACGACTAGAGTACGTTTTTAACTATATTCAACTTTGGTGTGGACAGTAACTTTTCTTAGTTTATGTAGCAACTTTTGTGCAGATATTTGATATGAGAAAGTTGAAGTTTTTGGTTTGGTTTTATTCTACCTAGCTGTCTCAATCTGAAAATGTTTTAAGTGTTTATAAGATATTGTTCGTTCGTTTCGAAATCATGAACGATCCAGTCTTTTTTATCTATTATGAATGCAGACTTAATGTCACATCTTGCGTCATAAGCACCTGTTTACTGAACTGTGGTTTTAAGTATAATTCCAGAAAAACCAAATTAAACACCTGTTTAGAAAATTTAAACGGGAGTTCAAATGATGGGGTCAAGATCTGGGGCCATAAAACTAAGACGAACTCCCTACTGATAAAGGTCTCGCTTTTCCTCTTTTGGTAAACGAGAGATCAAAAGTGAGTTCGAATTAGTTTTATGGCCCCGGGGCAGAGCTTGAGATTTAAAGTTTTTAAAAGAGAAATGTATTGTTGGAGAGTCCCAAAAGAATAATACCCGATATGTCATCTGCCGGAGACAAACTGGTTATTAACATTGTGAAATAGCAGCTTAAGCCTCAGACTGTGCGCATTATTGCGTTCAATAAATTTACACCCTTTTGAATGCATGATTTTTATCTGTCTAGTCGTCAATCCTTTTTGTTTTTCAAAAGACAAATTTGCCACAGTTTTAGTTTAACCGTTTATCAAGAATTCAGCCTCAGCCGCATTATGTTGTTTTATTAACTGACATATTGTAATGTTGTACAAGTCAATATGAGTAAGAAGGTAATCAGCTATGAGTTAACCCCCCCCCCCCCCGAAAAAAAAATTAAGTTGCATTCATTGCACTATATCAAATTATGATTTATTTCTTTTTGCAATTTTATAAACAATTTATATTTTGTTTTCTTTGTAGACATCCTTATTATTTGTTTCATCTTTCTTGACACAATGCTTTAAAACACCTATAAATAGCATTTGTGGACAAATAAAGAACTTTATTTGGTAATAACCAATATTTGCCCCCCCCCCCCCCCCCAATCAAACTTTCATGGAGATATATTTAATTAAGTTCTTAAACAGGGCAGTATAGGCTGACTTCAAAGCACTGAATATTTTCATAAGTAATGACGCCATTTAATGACGCAAATTTCAATTTTTTATGAATTTTACAGAAAAATGTACATATTTCGTCGATATTTTGATCTATAAATTTTAAAGCTAAAATTGTTGAAATTTTGTCCTTTTTGTCTTCTTTCTGAAAAAGGATATAAAATCGGACTACTTTGTGACGTCATAAAAACAAAAATTGTGAAAACACTGCTTTGACACTATACTATTTTCTTTTAATTTATATTTCTCATACAATTTATTGAATTCAGCACATTTCAGGAAAATTTCAAAATTTGACTTTTGTGGGGGCAAATATATGTAATATACCGCATATAGTTCTTTAACACGTCAGACGGGAATCCGATGTAAAAAAAACCCATTAAAATACCTAGTATTAAAACAAGGAATAAAAGATGACTTTAGTTAATTTACATTCGTTAAAAATACTTCATTGTTGGGTAAAACTAGATTAATTTGGCTGAGGTTTCCTCACCTCTATATTTTTGTGACAAACGGTAAATAACTTCAGGTAATAGAATTGCATCTATCAAAAACTATCTATACAGGATTATACATGTACATGTACTTAATAACTTACGATAACTAGCTTTGGATATGTATTTCGTATATATTATTTTAACTTTATTTCAATTATGCTTACTTTGAAGAAAACTCTCGTTTATTTGAAAATTGCTTTATTATATTTTTTCGTTATGAAAGAAACAGATTAAGATGATTATCAAAATAGTGGTGATTATCTTTTCATACAGTTGACAGAAAAAAAAATAATTTTGTGATTAATATATGCATCGTCTGAATACATGTATAATACATAAATGGCCATGGACCTTACAGGACACCTAAGCATCATGCAACATCTTTCAAACTATTGAATTTGGTTCATGTCTTAAAATGTCTTAAAGGCCATGACATTAACAATTTTTGAAAGAGACACCATTTCTCATCATAACTATGTATTTAGCATGATCAGTTTGGGTACTTAATACCCATCGGCAAAGTAGGGGAACAAAAATGCATTTCAATTAATTAGTAATATTAAGCAATAATTAGTACAATCTTGTGTTCCGACACCACAGAACCCCTGACCCTGGAACAAGACATTTCACAATTTGGAAAAGGCACCCTCGCCTATCCTAAATGTTGATTAATAACAAGGGGCAGATGTTTAACCATTAATTCATTTCCAGTATATAATAAAAACCCTATCATAACATCAGAACCCCATACTGTACACCTGACCCATTGGCCTTGAAATTTACAATTCTGCAAAAAACACCATTGCTTATCATAGATATATAGTTAGTTTATCCGCTTATTATCCGGGAGCAGTGGAGAAAGGGATTTTCAAAGATTTAATGCGTTTTCAAAATATATTTATATAGCCCCGACCATACACCAGAACCATTTAACCCTTGGGTCATGAGATTCAAAATTCAAGAAGAAGCACCCTTCCTCAACATAGCTATGTAATGTGGATAGGTTGTTTACTACGCAGAAGCAGAGAAGATTTTTAATAATTAATTCATTTTTACTATACGAGGGACGTTCAATCAATAATGTCATCAGCTCGATGTCATACAACATAGAAATCATTTGACATTAAACTTGACTTTCTCTAATCATTGAATCTTTAATGAATTGATAACAGTTTATGTGACCACTTTTCATCGCATAATTTCATTGTGGGAAGCTGGAAAACAAGGGTTACTCGAGACACTGCATTAAAAATGAATGGCCAAGAATCAGTAAACTAGAGTAAAATTAAACGCATCATTAAAGCTGCTGTAAAACTTGTTAATTTCCCAAAAAAATATTAACTGAAATACGTGAAATTTACAACAAATTATGTCTGTTTCATACACAAATGAACAGGTGAATTTCAATTAACAAAAATTATATAATGGGCATCAAAAATGGGTACCGTCCTGTCAACAAGTAAATACAACAACCAATGTATATTAGCGATAATTCAACGAATTATCACTGATAATGTTTTATTGACTTTAAGTTACAAAGCAAATTTGTTAGACATCATTTTTGGGATAGTTCAAACTGTTTTAAAGAAACATTTGATTGTAAAAGAGTTTAATACTCAAAGGTCACCCTATATTTTTAAAAGTGAGCGAAAACGAGAGCGTGTATAAAATCTAACTATTATTTTTAAAAAACCAAAAAATTGTTCTTATCCACGTTTTTCCGAAATTCAAACAGATAATGAAACTTGAATCCATTTTTGTTAAACCCCCAATATAAATTTAGAATAAGATGTACTTGACAAAACTGCAAAGGCCTAAGAAGAGCAAAAATTTGCAAGAATACAAAAACAGTTTTATACGCTATTTTATCAAATATTAGCGGTCTTGTTGTTCAAATTCATATATAGGGAGGCAATTCAATTTCTGGAGGAGTCTAGTAAGCAAAATATTTGCCAAAAAATTAAAAGGTTTATGAGAGGAAGGAAACAGAATGAGGAATTCACTACATTAAATTTCTTTCTGACAGGGTCCAAACCCACAGGCCATTAAAAGTAAAGGAGTTATGAGATAAACAGAAAGTTAATGTTTTGTCACATCAACAATATTCGCCAGATCTTTCAATCTTTGACTTGTTTCGTTTCCCAAACTCAGGAAAACACCTTTCAGAAAGAAAAAAACAATTAGAAATTGAATAAAAATGTTACGGACATGTGGTTTAATTAAAAGAGAATATTTTAGTTAAATCATTAAGACAAAATCGTAGAAATGCGTTTTTTTGTTTCTTTCCGAGCCCTGATGACATTATTTATTGAACGTCCCTCGTATAATCAATAGAGCACTAACCTATCACTAGAACCTCTTACCCTAGGTCTATGAAATTCAAAATTTTAGAAGAAAAACCTCCGCTCATCATAACTGTTATTGTAGTTAGTTTGTTGAATACCCAGGAACAAAAAAGATGGTTTTCCAAAATTAATGCATTTTCACTACATAATCAATAGAGCCCCTGCGTAACACCAGACCCTAGACCCTGGGATGATGAAATTCACAATTTCGGAAAAGACATCCTTCCTTATCATAACTATACAATTATTGTTTTGTTTAATAGAGAGGAGGAAAGAAAATTTCAAAGAAATAATTTAATATTATTATATAATGAATAAAGCTCTGTGCTAGCACTAGATTCCCTAACCTTGTGGCCTTAAATTTCCAAAATTTGGAAGAGGACTCAATGGTTATTACATTCATGC